AACCTAGTGATTCTGTGATTCTGTGATATTCTTTCTCACCAAATCCCCTTACTTCAAAAATAAATGTAATACCTGGGTGATGGGAAGAGATGATTTTACAAAAGCGTTTAACAACATGCATAGAGAACTATTCTCTGGCTAGAGCTCCAGTGTTTTCTTATAACTTGTGTAGCCCTCACACGCAAGAGGTATTTCTGTTTCCATGCCTCCTGTGAGAAGGACACACTTGCACATAGGGCTGTCCATGAAGGAATCATCCTGTTCTTTCTCTGTTTAGGGGGACAGTGGAGGACCTCTAGTCTGTCGGGACCAAGATAAATTTGTCCAACATGGAGTCACCTCTTGGGGCCTTGGCTGCGCCCAACCCATGAAACCTGGTGTTTACGTTCGAGTTTCCAATTATATTCCTTGGATTAAGAGTATAATGGAAAACAACTGATCTTGGGTGTGGACGGCCATCTCCTGGAAAGCAGTATGCACATTAGAAATACAAGATTCTTAGTGCAATTTTAAAGCTACAATCATTCATAAGAAAGTAAAATAAATATGATCATCCATTTTAAATTGCTATAAATTAACAGTTATTGCCAAGAAACCCAACTGACGGTGTGTTACCCTCTTTCTATATGTCCTATGGTTTGCTATGTTTGACAATAGACTTATCCACCTGTGACAAATCACACTGGTTTCCCCCAGGGTCCTCCCTCACTGAAGCTCCCCTTCTGCTTCCACCACCTCATCTTTTCTTTCTCACCCACAACAGTGTAACCCCACAGTCACCAAACCACTGGTCGTACAAAAGGTTACTGCCCACGTCACAACCTTTGTGAAGCAACCCAAAGTCTCACAGAGACAGGAAGATTTTCCACCTTACAAAATCCCCAGGTTAGGGGTAAGAGCAAGCACAGGAGCCATTACCAAATACAAACTCTACATGAAGTTGTTAAGTACTATCATATTGAAAGTCAGGACACATACACAGGCTTTTTCCTGCTGTCCTTTATATAATGAATTTTTAGAAAATAAATACATCCAAATTTCTGACACTGCTCCTGGCCATTTTACATACTGGAGTATTTCACTTATAGTCTCTTCTGAGCAACTTATAATGCTATGCAAAACAAAGAACAGTCTGAAAGGCCAGAAACTGTCTTGGTGTCTCTCACTTCACAGCACATTTTAGTTGTCCACAAACAGCAGCAGCTGGCAAAGAAGACTGATATGCCTTTGGCAAGATGTAACTTTAAACAACTTCCACAGTCCTTCTCAGGCTGCTGTACTGTTTCAGAAACCGATTTAAAAAGTTTAAAATTCACAAAGAAGAAACGCTAAAAGGAAGAGAGAGGCTCGCTTCATACAGCATCACACCTGACCACCTCACCCTGGCTCTCCGAGGGCTGCGGTACGGGCTGGCTGGGTGCGAGGAAGACAGGGCTGAGCTCTGCGGCCTGGCACCTACGCTCCCACCCCGCGCTGAGACAGGGCACCTGGCCAGTGCAAGTCCACAGCTTCCAGTTCAGGGCTGGTGTCTCTGCCAGCCAGCCCCAGGGAGTTTACAGCCATCTGCAGAAGACTGTGTTGGTGTATAAGGGGTTTTCTCCCTGCAGCAGTAGCTCCAGTTTTGGGTTGTCTTTTAGATATCGCTAATTAGCCAGATATATTATGAGATGCTCATTTAGTTTCATATCTTCCAATCACTACTGACTTTTGCTAAGCATTCCATTGACCTTTAACTATGCCTCAGAGGAAGTTAGAAAGAGCCTTGAAAGACAGCCCTTTATTGTTAACTGCTCAAAGTATGCAAACATAGACCGAGATTACCAGTAAAGGTCCTGTTTTCCTCCAGCGGGGTTGGTGGTATGGGCAGCTGCTTGGAAAAGTCAGGCAGAGTTGGGAACTGTTGAAATGCACAGTATTCTCCTCACCATAGGAAATCCCCCTGTGCAGGCACCTTGCCTATATGTGCTCTTAAGATGGTGAGACGGGAGCAGTAGTCGTTCAGCTGCACAGGCTGTAATGTTAGTACTACTCATTTACAGTATGAACCTTCAAAACGCAGTCCTATATTTGCTTACACCAAATATGTTATTTTCTGAGCTTATAAGGCTATTACAAGAGCTCATCGGCTTTCTTTTGTTTATTGAATTGCCTGTTGGCAGCAGGATACCTTTTGAACACCACATCTTCTCTGTAAAGTCCTTCACTGTAAAGAGTGTATTGTTTACCTGTCATTGACCAGGACCCAATGCTTGATGAGGAAGGTCATATAGCTGAAAGGGAAGGCAGGCTGTCCCTGCTATCTGTTTGCAGAGCTGAGGATCCAAGTTATTCTACTACCTGTCAGCTTGAAACAACCAGGACCAGTTAACACTTCCCTCCATAACCAAAGCTCTTGTCTCATCCTTGTTCAGCTTCCCAAGATAGCTTAACATCCCTGTCAACAACCCAAATAATTTATCCCCAAGATAGAAAGATGACAAATAATAATAATGGACAGAAGTCAGAAATTGGGGATCACCTTGGCAGTGGTCAGGGAGAGGGCATTTTCTTTGTAGGGGTGGGCAGAGAGCATGTTTTAGAAGGGAAAAGATCAGCTTTTGAAAGAGAGGGTTGGAAAAGCACCCAACAGGGGAGAGTAGACAGAAGCCCTTCCCTCAGGAGACATGGGGGTCCCTAGCCAGGAGACAGGACAATGGGGTGGGACAGGAACCCCAGCTGGGTCTGGGGGAAGGCACTGATGAGCAACAGGACTATCTGACCTGCAGAGCTAATGCCCTGTGTAGGATGTGACACCTACATAAAGCCCTGGGAAGGAGAGGAGGAGAACTGCTGCCACATTTCAGAAAGCCTTGAACAGGGAGAGAAGCAGGGTTTTTGTTGCAGAGGCTCACTGGTGGAGAGGAGCAGGCCAGGACAAGGATCTCCTGATGCATGCCTCTGATTCCCATCCCTCCTGACCAGAGATAGGACCATCCTGATCAGCATCCTCATTCCTGAGCCATCAGATCTTCAGTTTGTCCAGATTCTCCAGGGGCAAAGGAAAATGGTTTGAAATACACATCCTCTCTTCCCCAAAGTCATCCAAATCTTCAACAAGCAGTACCATTTCCAACCCTCCACACCCAAAGGTATATGCTAACAACAGAAATAAACAAATGGCTCAAATATATACAAAAATAAATAAGAGCTCACTGAGCTGGGTAGTGCATTCTTTTTAAGCTGTTCTATCCTCTACCAAGAACCACAGAGTGCTCCATTCCTGCAAACAGCATACTCAGAAAAAATGAATTTATTCCATACTTATAGAAAAATACACGTCTTGTTTTAAACGTCCTTATGCTTAGAAGAAGAACATGGAGTTTAATCCATACTCTGCAGCAAATTTTGAAGTAGTGGCAGGTGGAGAAAAAATTCCCAGTATGGGAACGCAGTTCTTCACTCAGTGCTGTCCTTCAAAGGTCAAATATGAGAGCTGGTGTCCTGGTGTTTCCATTTCTTGCCACATTTACCAAAATGACTGAAGAAACAGAAGGAGAGAGGGGTATAAGGGTGACAGAAACAGGAAAAGATGTAGTCCAAGTTGTTGCCCCAGCTGCAATACTGAAACATTTATTTTCTGCATAGAAAATTTCCTCTTTCTTTATTTTGTACATTGAAGCAGGCAAAAGTTGTTGATGTAATATCCAAAGCCAGTGCTTGAAACATTAATGTATAGTGCTAGCTCCTCAAGAAATTTACTGCCAAACGAGCCAAGGTGTCAATGTTCTCTGCACACCTGCAGTGCAGTGAAGAGTCTGGCTTGCCGTGTGCCGGGAGTGGGAAAGCTGTGCCTATAACTCGTCAGCTATAAATTCATCTTGTACCTGACTTTTCAATGACTTCACAAATTGTGGAAATGCTCCCATAATCAAGGGCCCTTCCTCACAGGATGCTTCGATTGAGGTAAAGGCTGGTTTACGTGAACAGAGTTGCAGGCTCTACTTTGTAGTATCTCTCTTGCACACTATTACTTTATGCTTCTAAAGGTATACAAGACAATTTTGTGTTTCATGAGAAAAATACAGATTCTATCCCCATACTTTTTTTTTAACAACCCGCTTTAAATGGTATTGAAAAGTTTACATTTCTAATGAGGAATATACCACTTGCTCATAACATCAGCCTGACTAGGGAATTTACTTTCACACTTGGAAAACATCAATAATTTATGACAGCTCACAAAGCTGGAGGGGAACACCCTTAAGAAACCTCATCCAAGTAAATGTATGAAAATACATATCGTACCTTGAAAGCTGCTCCACATCCTCCACTGTCTCTGGCAAGGAGATTCCCTTTGTCTCTGGTAAAAACAGTACTAGGAACCCACAGACAACTGCGAGAATACCTACAATGGACATTGAAGAAATACAAAAGCAATAAGAAAATAGTTACTTTTCTTATTTTCAGGGTTTATCCACTGAGGAAATTTTATTCAGATCAAGGTTAAAGTGATATTTTTAAAGTGCAGTATCGATTTCTGATTACCTTACTCTTACCAAACACCTTTATGTTACATTAATTTAACCTATTACAAAAGAACTTGAGGGCTAGGGGTTCATTTGCAGCCTGAACTGCCCCAAAAGGGAGATCTTAGAAGTCAAAAACCTGAGAAGTGCACGTGGGCAAGTGCATACAGACTGCACTGGAAGTAGGATGGTATTTATCACATACATAAGACACATTTGCCTTTGTTCAAGGGGCTCTATCACATAGATGCACCTGTGTTTCTTGAGACTATTGAGATTTTCCTGAAATACTCTCTCCGTGTATCCATTGCCAAAGTAGATTATGCGATTCAGAATAAAAATTCATCCTTGAGAAAGAGCATTCAGATAGAGAGCCAGTCTGAAATAGTTCACCAAGACTGGTTATTTTGGAACAACTTGCTACATAGATATAATTTAAAGAATGTAGTAAGTCAAAAATAGAAGGGCTGGAGTGAAAAGCAAAATCCCTGATTGTTATACAGTCCTCTCTGCTGCTCTCTGATTCTGTGGCTGTTTACTCAACGCAGCAGCATCAGAATTTCAGAATTAGATAATGTGAACAGTACTTCCATACACGTCTATTCTTGGAATAATGGTAATTTTTTAAAACGTCTCTTGTTTTTCCCTTTTTGTTTTCAAGCTAAAATTTTAATTAGTACCAGTTTCCCTTCTTATTCTATCCTATCCCTTTTGCTTTATTCCTAGTCACATGTATCTCCTGGAAGTCTTGTTTAGCCACAGACTCCCACTTCTTTGTTAGAAATAACTAATTTTTTCCTACAGAATTAATCCACAGGGCTCTTTTTTTTTTTTTTTTCCAAAAATGCAACTGAGGTAAAGAGTTTGACAGGAATAAGTCATTATGGTTAATGCAACATGCATAGCCATGACTGTAGATACCAAAAAACCCAAAACACATTTTTTAAAGGACATTTATTGTTGGGAGATTAAGCTTATTTCTCTGCAATTACAGAACTTAGCTGTAAGGTTCCTCAGTCTTAAGCACCTCACATAGTTTCTTTTATGGTCTTTCAGCCAAGTCACCCAAGCATACCCGAGGTCTTCCATAGGGTGCCATCAAACCATCCACATTTCACCCATTTGCCATTCAGCCTCTTGCTCTAGTTACGAAGGTTGCAAGGGGCTGGTTTGAGTGGCAGATGAGGCCACATGCCACACTTTTGACCCAAAGGAAAAGCTCTGTTAGGAGGAAGATATTTAAAAGAAAAGTACATTTTAAATCAAATCTTACTGAAAATAATTAGAGGTAGCTCCAACCAAATGGCTGCTAATCGGAAAAGCAGGAAATGGGGTTTGGAATGGGGCTACGATTCCACCTAGGTCACATAAACTCGAGCACAGGGAAACACCAAAGTTTCTGCAAAAGAAAAATAGTGCCAGATATTTGAGAGAGCCTACCAAACAGATGAACCAGCAATTTAAGGAGCAGAACGTAGACTTAGCTCCAAAATTATCTCATCGGAATATGTCATCCACTTTGAGCAGTGGCTATTCAGTTAGGAAACTCTGGAGAAAAACAAGTTTTACTAAAAAGTGGTGAAACAGGGAATGGAGAAAAGCAGAGGGAAAAGTTGAAAGATTCCTGAGAGCTTTCATTGTACCTCAGTGTCGTAGGGTACAGTTCAATGTTCACAAGGTAGACTATTTCAAAAGCCATCGTGATGCCAAGTCTTCCCAGGGTGGCAACCGTCGTTTTGAGCCATGGGATATCTGTTCATTCAAAAAGAAACCCAGGTGAAGCGTGCTTTGCTGTGCCAGCAGAGCACTTCTGAGAGCCCCAGGCCCTGTCGGACAAAGCTACATCACAGAAACAAGTGAATCAGTGCAAATCAGACTGAAAGGCCACGGCTATAGATGTCAATCTATACTGGCATTTATTGCTTTCCAGCAGCATGTGAGGCTGCTTTGCAGGATCAGAAATCACTTCCAATCAATTGATTCAAGATTCTGGTGGGGCATCACAGCATGGGTGGGGGAATAATTGCTAAAAGCTTCCACGACCATGTCCAAATTGTGCTCTGGAAAGAAGCATTTATATAGGATTATTGTGCTGTAAGAAATACCATTGAGTCACCTCCCAAAGCCTTCTGACTACAAAGAAGCTACCTGTAAAGGTGCACTTGCAGCAACAGTAAAACACTTCTCCCCAGAGCAGGCGAACTACACTTCATAATTTGTTGAGTCATTGCACATTAGACATGCTTCTAATAATGCTACCCCTGGCCATCCTCCCCCTTCCCTTCCCTGGTGCTTGTCTTTGTACCTGGCATGACCTGCCCAGGGACCTTACGCTGAGCCATGGCTCTGCCTGGCCCCCCGGCTCCGCTCGAGCTCGAGCACCCCACCACTGCCATGCATACACCAGTGGGGAGCCCTGACACATCAGCGGGGGTGCGATGGTCACACCCGCACCACAGGGTAGAGCCCTCTGGTGTGCGACCCCTCAGCACTCTGACGGCCCTCTCTGGAGAGCCAGTGGCCTCTGGAGGGGCGTCACGGGGAACGCAACAAGCACTTCTGCAACGCTCTTGGGTGAGGACAGTCGCCTATATGGTCTAAGCACGACCGGGCAGATGGGGAGGCGAGTGAAACAAGCCTGAACCTGGCACGAAGGGGAGCAATGCCACTGGAGGGGGTTCTGGCAGCAGTTGTGTTTTCTCAGAACTTCAACAGGAAAAACAAGGAAGCATTTCAGTTTGCTCTGAACCAAAACCATGAGATGCCTGGGTTATTTCCCTTCCAAAACAACCAAACAAACCCCCGTCAAATTTCATCCCATGTTGTGAGACACTGCCTTTGCCCTGAAAAGTTCTGTTTTCAAACACTTGTAACAAAAGCAAAGGCTGGAAAGAACAAAACAAATACATGTTGTCTCCCTGGCACCACTTCAGTCCATCAGACCCCTGAGGTGAGGGTGACATTCTTGTGACCCCTCCCTCTGTCAGGGAACTTGAACTCCGTGAGCACCCCAGCATGACTGAGCGCTCACAAGCTGCCACTGCAGCTTTTCCCATCTGTATAAACAGACCTCGCCTGAAAGCAAGGCTTGGACTTTAGGTGTCCCATCTGCAGGTATCTAATCCCCAGGCTGTCCTCTCCTCACCTGGGTAGATGAGGTCCTCTCAGCACTTCACCACTAGTGAGAGCAGGCTGGTGGCAGCATCCTGCTGGCCCCAGGCCACTGCTTTTTCCTCTCACTCAAACCACAGTAGTCCTAAACAATACTCCTGCTCTAACCCCAGACCTGCTGCACTGTGCTTAGCATATGGTGTGGCCCAAAATACTAGAGGTGCTAGAGGCAGGTGTCCTGCAGGAGTAATTCCCAATGCTGCTCTTTGTTTTCTCCTCCTGCAACAGCCCTAGCTCCAGGAGATCAACAGTCCCCAGTCCCTGCTGTCCCAGCATGTCCTTTGTACTTTTTTGATAGAGAACGATGCTGACAAAGTCAGCAGATGACATGGTGACCAGGCCCTCTGTGCCTGAATTGCTGTGCCCCGTGTCGGGGGAGCTGCCACAGGAGCATGGAGTGGCCAGTATCTGCTCAACCTGTGGCAACTCTTCTGAGAGGCACACAGCAGTGGGGACCTGGGGGAAATCTGCCAGGACAGCAGAGTTAGCCCTCACGGGCTTCAGTGGTCAAAGTGATGAATGCAAACAAGTCACGACAATGTGACATCCCAGGGCACGGTGATACAGCCACCAATGCCAGCACCAGGAACAGACCCTCTCCATGGATCTTCCGTCTCCGTTTCCCTCTCCCATCATTTCAGCTTCTATTAAAGCAGTGAAGTTCCTCAAGCACACAGTGTTAATTTTAAGTACTTTTGGAGGAATCCCTTTAAAGGGACCTTAACTGAAATGGAGGTGAAACAACACACCTCTTTGAAAGATTTCATTCTGCACTCACCAGAAACCTGCCTGTTTTCATGGGCACATCATACTCTTGAAGTGGTTTCTCATGGCTCTTTTCTAGGAAAACAATTGTCCCACAATCTAACTTTGGGAACTAAAGCCTCTAAGGCTGGCCAGGACTGTCCCTTACTTTGACAGAATATTCCTGGGGAGGAATAAGCCTCTCTCTCATTCAGCTGCTGGTCCCCAGCTGCATTAAGGCAAAGCATGCTGATGTGGTAACATTCACTTCAGAGCACCTCCAAATGCTTCTCCGGGGATAAAAAAATCTACACAGGAAGGAAAACAATTTAAAGAAAAATAGGAGTGGTGGGAAGCCTGTGTGCAATATCAGATGGTTTAGTTGTCCTTGAAACCAGATAAGAACAGCTTTATCAAAAGCCATACCTTTCCTCCAACCCCTTAACATTGTCCAAAGCCCTGGGAGAATGAGAGCAGAGCAACAAGTTCCATGTTGTCTGCCACAGCCCTTACATCTTGTTGTGGTTTACATCATTTTATTTGCAAATGAGAAGACCACCAAGCTGCCTCAGCTAAATTATTGATTTCTTACATCAAGTGTCTTACAAGTCAGGGAATGTATTTTCCCTTTATGTTTGTATACTCTTCCCTTGCATTTGCCTTCAAAAACAGTACAGGGCCTTTATACACATTTCTTCTAAGACTACACCCAGTTGTTGCTCACAATCCATCAAAGATATGACCATTACATGTCCCAGGGCAATCTATAAGCATATGTTGTTCCATGACTGTGGTGCTGTTTGCATCACCAGACACTTTTTACTTTTATCTACAGTTTTGTGTGGCCTGTTGTTCTTGCTTAGGGAGTGTCAGAGGGAAGTCATTGACCTAAAGAGCCTGATGTTGGGAAGGTAATTACCTTCTGGCAAGAAGGCAGTAATGAGGCATGAAATTCCTGCCACAATGTTGCTTATTCCAAAGGGAAGGCGCCGGCCAATGCGATCAATTGTCACTAAAATTAGGAGAGCGGCAGGCAGCTCCACAGCTCCTGAGATGAAGAAGTCTAGGTAGAGGTTTCCTCCAACGATTCCTAGGCGCATGACAAGTCCTTGGTAGACCAGGGCACTTGTGAACCTAAACAACAACGGGAAAACAAAATTGAGAAGCAAACAAAAGGCTACAAGCAGCTGGAAAGACCCTAAAAGTCACAAGGGATTTTTTCTTCAAAAACCCCTGCTCTGGTAACAACCTGGACTGACGTGGGCACTCACCAGGCATACATCAGGATGAGCGTGTTCCTTCTCATCTGAGGAGTCCTCACCAGGTCGAGAAAGGAGGGGTTGCTGACCTCATCGTTGCTGACAGTGATCTGAGGAGAAAAGTAAGCAGTAGAGTCAGCTGTCAGGGGTCAGGCAGGCGTTGGGGCAGAGTTTCTGTGTAAACATAGTGCTCAGCAATATTGCAGTCTAGCGAGCAAAGGTGCCAGTGAGCCAGATTGCTGCTTTTAGCACTGCAGAACAGAGTGCAGACACGCGAAACAGCTTATAACTGGACACAGCTGTGGGCTTTCCTTAACAACGATCGTGCAAAAATCAGGAAAAAAAATCCCCAATCTTGACTTGAGAGTGGAAAAATTATTTCCTCATTGTAAACTGAGAGTGGTTGACCTGGAATTTCTTGGAGGGCAATAAGCGGTCATTGTCACGTCAGGGTCACTGGAAGCAGAGCTGCCTTCTGCCAGAGGTGACAGAGATCAGGAGACCATGGCAGGAAGGGCAAAGTGATGGGCTGCAGGAAGCAGGGAGAGGGGGTGAGCAGCAAGCAATGGGCTTGGGAACATGGCTGGTGGCAGAGCTGGGCAGCAGGAAGAAAAGAGGAGTAAGAAAAAAAGGATATCTGTGAAGGTGCTTGGGTGCTACAAAACATTCAACTGGTGAAATTCAGAGAGTCTTAAAATACACAAGCACTATACTGAACATGGTTTTTACCCTGGAAGAAAAAAATCCTGCAAAGTATGAATTAATGGTCCTCATACTGCCTACAAAGTGTAGTAAATCTGTTCACAGCTTCCTCCGATACAGTCACAATGACGCACCAATGAAATCATTAGTTAGAAGGTTTAACAATAACAGAAAAGTGCAGGATTTCACACAGGCTGTGTTTACAGTGTTGGAGTTCATTGCCATAGGATATTGTGGAGTCAGAATATTAGCAGGGCCAAAAAGGGATTAGGCACATTGATGGAGGCTGTTTTTAACTGTGGCCAGCAGTTTTTAACTGTGGCGTCCAAGCCAGGTGGCAGCCCCTTTGTTCGTGTGCTCATTTGGCAGGTGAGGAAGATGAGGAAGAGAAGGAAGAGGTGGTTTCAGGCAGGGGTAAACCTTGAGACCGCCCAAGAACTGGCAGCCACGGCTGGGATTGCCACCAACTCTCGAAGCAGCTGTGGGAAACATGAGGTTAAACCCACTGCACCCTTTTTAGAAGGATTTCAGGCAGCCTGGCTGCTTTGACTCTCAGTTATTGTCTTACTCCTGAGAGGAGGCCTAAGAGAGCAAAGAGAGGAGTAAGTCCCCTTCTACGACTACAGCACCTGCTGCCCACGTGGGCACAGGAGCCGAAAGGAAACGCTCCTGGCCGGTGGAGAGACGTGGGTGAAAGGATGGAGAAGCGCGTGGGAACATGCAGATCTGTGATGAGAACACGGGTAGAGCCCAAAACGTTGCTCCAGGGTCTCATCAGCTCAGCCAGGGCTATGCCCAAAGCTTTAGCCCTAGATGTGTTTTTGATGTCAGAAGGTAGCACAGGCCTTTTTCAGTGAGATTTGACTGGATGTATTTATACATGGCTTTTTCATAAGGGAGTGACACATAACTTTGTAAGTGGACAGAGAAACCCCACATTTGTTCAAACTTCCTTTCTGCTCTCTCTTGCTTTTCTTCTGTAACCAGAGCCAGAAATTTTCTTCAAAGCACTGCCACTTCTGCTGCGTGCCAGAGCCCTTTGTGGGGCAGGTGGAGGTTGCGAGGTTTCTGTACGGCTTTTGGACTTTCTCATATTATGGTCATAAAGCTGCCATGACTGTGTTTGTAAAAGCAGGCTGCCAGCCATCAGTTGTGACTTTGTGCAAATATGGTGTTCGTTTTCCAAAAGACTGAAGATAAATTCAGCATGGCTGTTACCATGTATTTTTATGTCTTAATAAAGTCATAATAACTCCAAGCATGACTGAGCATTTTTCTATGGCTAAAACAAAATCATTGTGGAAAGTCAACTCTTTGTAGGGAAAAAAAAAACATTCTTTTTGTTCTTTGAAGTCAAGGAAAGCTTTGCTATTCACATCAGTGCAGTCAGAAATTCAATGACAGGGCCCATGTTTCCAAAGATACACTATCTGAAAACTCTGGAGGAAGTTTTATAGTCACTTTCACTGGCATTTTTATGTCCCATATCAGTTTTTCTGCAATAATTTTTATGAGTAATAACGACTTATTAAAAATAAATAATAATAATAAAGTTATTAAT